TATCTTCTTTGCTCCTTTGTCAAAAATTAGGTGTCCATAAATCACAGAGTAGAATTTTATTTTTCTCAAATCATAGGATGTAGGGAAGAATTTTTTACAAACACAGATTTAGTCATTCTTTATGAATGTTCTTTAAATATGGTATCTGTATCTTTGAGCTTTTCTTGGTTAGTAACTCCTATTGGAAAACAGTTTTTAAAAGAAATATAACTACAAGTAGGTTTATCTGAGAAAATAGTGGTTTCATATTGATGTCCATTTAATAAATTGACTTCAGGATGAATCCAATTAATGAACACTGTGAAGGGTGACCCATTTACTGCTTTCCTGTTTGAATCATTGAAACTAAAATAGTAGTTTACTTATAGCATTATTACGATAATAAGTAATATCAAACTGGCTTTATCTTTACAGTTTCAATATGAATAGAAGTCAAGGGATAATACTTGAATATATGTCATTGAAATGGAAAGCAGAGTTCTAGAGTACATTTCATTTTGGCTTCCCTCTTCAATATAAGATTTGTCATTCCTTTTTTTTTTTTTTTTTAAAGATTTATTTATTTATACAGAACTGGGGTACAGGCCAGAGATGCGGAGGGTGAGAGGATTCAACAGAGACAGAGTGGGGAGCAGAACAAGCAGATCGATGAAGTATACTGCTGAGGGGAGCAGCGGGCAGGTCAGGAGAGGTCTGCCGCGCCATGTGGTCACCTCCGGGCAGGCGGGGATCGAACTCATGGGGAAGTGGCTTAAGCTTCCTAGTGCAGCGCTTTAACCCACTGCGCCACCAGGGAGGGCCTGTCATTCCTTTTTAAGACTGTTTGATGACTGTACAAGTTAGCATCAATCCTTATGCTAAATTTTTCCCACTTCTATTTGTGATACAGTGCCGTCTGTCTTTTTCAGACACTTTATCTTTCTACAGCAACCCTTTTAGTGTACTTTTGGCAGCAATACTGATCTTTTAAGTGAAGCAGATTATAAATTAAAAATGTCCTGAGTTAATGTGAAGATTTAATCTATCTTTAAGTAGAATATTGGCAAATCAATGGGAAACTGTTTCTAATTTGTCTTAAATTTTAAAACAAAGTGTTAGCTCTAATCAAGCCACTTTCATTGGCAGAAAGGTTTGTTGAGAGTGTGATACAAAAAGTCTTGGTAAGCGGGGACTGATAACCTAGGAGTCAGTGTTTCCTTATTTAAACACAATGGCCAGGTCCTCCCTGGTGGCACAATGGGTTAAAGCACAACACCATGAAGCTGTTGTAGCAGCTTCAGCAGGGGTTCAATCCCAGGCCAGGGAGATAACCCACATGGTGCAGCACACCTCTCCTGTCTGCTCTCCTCAGCAGTGTGTTTCAGTATATCTGCCTATTCTGCTCCCCTCTTTGTCTCTGGTGGATGGTCTCCCTGCACCTCTGGCCTGTACCCCAGTTCTGTATGCATAAATAAATAAACCTTTAAAAAAATAAACACAGTGGCCTTCAAACTTACAATTTTGTTTCTCAGATATCCCTATGTCTGTGGGTATAATCGATCCTAGGGCTAATCCAACCCAACTGAACACAGTGGAGTTCCTGTGGGACCCTGCAAAAAGGACATCTGTATTTATTCAGGTAAGGCGTAGATGAGGATCCTGTTTTGAAGAAAAGCATCTCTTACTCACAAGTTATTTTTTGAAGGATGAAGCATGTTGATGTTATAATCTTACAGGGTTCCAATCTGTCAGGTGCAGACTCCTCAACATATATCTGAAAGACATGAGGAGTTTCTCAATTGCTCTCCCCAAAATATTTGCTAATGGCACCATAGTATTTTACTCAGGGTGTCCTGTAACTTGCCTAACACTTATTTAGTGTGTAGATTGTGCTAATTTTTCTCTATAACCCATGAAGTTATTTTGAACACGTATATTTAGAATTTAATTCACATAGCTGAGTATTTTCCTTTGGGTGGATTCCTTGAAAATGGTGTTTCCTCTTTCTAAAATTTTCTTTGAAGTTCCGGAGCCTGAACTTTATGTTTACTCTGTAGTCTCTGAAACAGTTAAAGTACATTTACTTTACTACATTTGTAAATCATTTACATTTTCCTCTTTTTCTCTGTTAGTATGCAATCTCTTCAGGATCAAAGAGATAATAAGCTTTTTTTTGGTAGTGTTTATAATGCTTTTGAAGTGTTTGTGGTTAGTAGTGGCTTGGCCGCCAGAAGCCTGAGAGGGGTGCTGTCTCTCCCAGGTGCACTGCATCAGCACAGAGTTCACCATGCGGAAACATGGCGGCGAAAAGGGAGTGCCTTTCCGGGTACAGATTGATACCTTCAAGGAGAATGAGAATGGGGAATACACTGAGCATTTACACTCAGCCAGCTGCCAGATCAAAGTCTTCAAGGTATTTCATAGGCATGGTGTTGACACGTGGAACGTTTCCCCTCATCTTTCGTTTCTACCGTTAGTCACCTAGTGAGAAAGTTCACTTGGCATCTTTCAAAAGCTATGAAAACTCAACCTAAGCTTAGAGGCATTGAAAGAACTACTGAGATATCTGGTAAAGAGATTTAGCCAGAGTGGGTTATAGGAGAAGAAAAGGGAGCTAAAACAAAAATGTGGATTTTTATTAAAATTTCTTCAAGCCTATTGAAGCTAAAGCTTTTGTAAAAGCTCATAAAATTATGATAAGCTGACAGCTTTGGTTACACTCGTATTTAGTCGTTCTCTCTGTTGTTGTTTATATTTATCAAGTGGACAGATCCATTTGCACTGCAAAAGATTTATTAATACAAGAGTATTCAGAGCATGACATCTCCCACTGTTACCCTGACCCCCAGGCTTCTTGAGAAGCCACCACTGTAGTAATTTAGTATGTATCTGCTAATCCCCTTCTGTGTTTTCATATACACATGTGTGTAGATGTACAAATGTTTTCTTTTCTTTGAAATACAAATGGGATTTTATTCTGAGTTGACATGAGGCTTGCTTTTTTCAGTTAACTGTGCCTTGAATTTCTTTCCCTATCAATAGCTGTACATTTCTTCTTCCACTTTATTAAACACTTAAATTTCTGTTTTCAAAAAATGAAAATAATGCGTCTTGCCTTTACGTCATGTGTACACATATTTTTCTTTCACATGTATGTTTCCAGAAGTAATATTGTTGGCTAAAAGGATGAGTACTTGAATTTAAAGCAGACATTTCTCATTTCAGCCCAAAGGTGCAGACAGAAAGCAAAAAACAGATAGGGAGAAAATGGAGAAAAGAACTCCTCATGAAAAGGAGAAATATCAACCTTCTTATGAGACAACTATACTCACAGAGGTAAAAAAAGCATTTTTTTTAAAGATTTATTTATTTGTGCGTACAGAACTGGGGTACAGGCCAGAGGTGGAGGAGCGATGAGAGGTTTCGCCAGAGACAGAGTGGGGAGCAGAAAAGGCAGATCGACTGAAACACACAGCTGAGAGGAGCAGTGGGCGGGTCAGGAGAGGTCTGTTGCTCCATATGGGCCACCTCCTTGGTCGGGGATTGAACTGGTGCTGAAACTGCTGCTGCTGGCTTGGTAGTGCTGTGCTCTAACCTGTTGTATCACCAGGGAGGTTCTCCCTCCCCCAAAAAAAGAGCATTTCTTTTGGTGACAATTTCAACCAGTGCTTTTTATTCTTGAAAGAAAAATCCAGTCATTTTGTGATATCTAGATAGTCAAATCAATACATTGTGAACCTAAAACTAATTCAATGTGATATGCCAATTATATTTCAATTAAAAAATTATGTTACTTGTCTTGATTTTATCAGTTGTGGATACCTCAGAGGAATTAAGATTTACTAGTGAGATGTACTGCTCTAATAACAATGTTTTGGTGGAATCTAAGGGTCAAACAAACTTTTCAGTGTTTTACTTCTCTTTTGTTTTTAGTGTTCTCCATGGCCTGAGATAACATATGTCAATAATTCCCCCTCCCCTGGATTTAATAGTTCCCACAGCAGTTTTTCTCTTGGAGAAGGGTAAGTTTGGGAAATGTGTTTGACCTAAATATGTATTCTTTCATTGCCTCCGCCTCCCCATTCACAAGATCTTACTGAATCGCTGTATACTTCTACATAAATCATTTTTTTTTAAGATTCATTTGTTTATGTATACGAGAACTGGGGTGTAGGCCAGAGGTGCAGGAGGTGAGAGGATTCACCAGAGACAGAGTGGGACAGAGTAGGGGGCAGAGCAGAGTAGGGATCTACTGAAATACACTGCTGAGAGGAGCAGCAGGTGAGACAGGAGAGGTCTGCTGCGCCATGCGGGTCAGCTTCCTGCCTGGGGATCGAACACCACCAGGGAGGCCCTCTACGTAAAATCTTTGATGGCTTTTTATACTAACGGAGGATTGGATTATCTTCAGAAGAAACTTAAAAATTATTTTTCTGTAACCCTTTCTCCACCTCCTTCTTTTCTCCCATTAGAAAATAGTATTTATGGTCAGTTTTAGTGATTCAGGGACTGATTTTCTGGGCTTTTCACTTCTCCCTATTTGCTGCTAAGTATTTATTTTACTTTCTGATCGTGATGGTCACTGGAGTAATGGTCATTGGGAATTGAAGCATAGCTGTATAAACATTAAAATCTGCTTTATTTGTTAAAAGTGGACCTAATACCTAGTTATTATAAATCTTTGATAATTGGGGAAAAAGTGTTAAAGATGATAGCTAACATGAAATCTTGTAATTATATATGGGAGATGCAGTTAATTTAGCCTTATTGTCTTTTATTGTCAGAAATAATTACAAATTGGTACAGCTACCTACTCCAGTTACAGTAAGTTGACTTAGCATGTAATACGTATTCCAAGAGGCCATATTGAGATTTGAAATAGGCTACTAACTTTGTGAGTATATGTTTATGTGGTTGTAATGTTTGTTTTTGAATCTGTGTGTACGTTATGTGTTCAGCCAACTACCTAAAGTATTTAATTAATTTAGGTAACTTAAACATTCAAAATGTAAAAAGAATAAAAACAGGTAGAAGTTGTAGAGTAGGTAACTAAATAAGTAGATGTTAAATTTACAGAAATAAATAAATTGTTAAATTTGAGTGCTGGATTTGAATTGCAACTAAAGTAGAAAAGAAAAGGGTGTTTTGAAAGAAAAATAGCTCTTGCCACTCACGTGGATCATACAGTTTACTTGTCGGCAATTTTAAACTACATGTAGTATTTAAGAGTCAAGTTTTGAAATGTTCTCTTTTCTCCTTGTCATAACATCATTAATAGGATGAAATTTTGGTTTCAGAGAAGAAGTCCTAGTTATTGAGGCTACCAGAAAGGGCAGGTTGGAGGTTGCTAGCCCAGCGAACTGGCTAAAGGTTGACCAGTGCTTTGATGGTGGGCTGGCGCGATAATACTACAGCAGCATATATTTGCAGAGGTGTAACCTGTACCCTAAAACATGTACAGTGTTACAAAGTAATATTATCTAAATAAATCTCATTTTTAAAAAACTGCGCCCCAGGGAAGAGGAGCAGTTTGTGGGCCAAAGGGAAGTCTGAGGGGAAGCCATGGGCATTGAGCCAACCTGTGGGTCACAAATTAGGCAGAACTAGCTCCTGAAGCTGCCTTTAAAATAATACCTGTGTTTTTAATTATAGAAGTATGTGACCACACTGCAGCACGTACATTTTCTAATTTTCCTGTGTATGTTTGTGTATTGTTGATTATTTTTATACTCTCATTTTGGTTTTCATGCTCATAAATTTCTTCTGTTAAGTATTCTTTCTGCCATTGATCTAATTAATTAGTCCCAACTTATTGAAATGTTGATTTTTTAAAATTTCCCCGGTAGTAAAAACTTTCACAGATAAAATAGTTTGTTCCTCTCCCCTAATAAAGTTTTTACATCAGATGAACAATAATAAAAGTATTGGGTCTAAGAGTTCTTATGAAGAACGCAGATTCTAGCTTTATGAGGATGAAGAATGAGATGATGATGAACCCTAGTGTGTATCATGGACTCATCCTTTCATTTTAAATGTTTCTTTAGAAATGGTTCACCAAACCACCAGCCAGAGCCACCCCCTCCAGTCACAGATGTAAGTCTAAAGTTACATGTCAGTTATTTGCAATGTCTAATAATATTTTGATGACTCTCCAACTCAGTACAAATACCCAACTTTTAGGAAGTATTATTCATTTATTCATTGCACAAACGTGTTAAATTTTGACTGGGGGACAGACACGACGCTAGGGACTAACGGCAGGAACCAGGTAATCAGGACCCGTGCATTTAAGGAGCTCATAGTGCAGAGGGGAAAGCAAAGAGGTGGGATCCATGGGCATCTTGCATGGCCAGAGAAGGCTGAGGCGGCATCAACAAACGACTTCCAGGCAGACTAGGCCTCTGGAGTGTGGGAATGTTCAGCTGTGTTATATAGTGATGGAGGAGAAACCTCTCTAGTCACCCAGACTAAAAAGAGCGTTCTCTCTTCCAGAACCTCTTGCCAACAACCACACCTCAGGAAGCTCAACAGTGGCTGCATCGGAACCGTTTTTCCACCTTCACAAGGCTTTTTACAAACTTCTCAGGTTAAGTTTCTTCTTTTCTCCTATCCCCAGCACAGAATATACCTTGAGGTTCTAGGGCTTCCTGGCATTCATGTGAGCTTGTGTGTGTGTGTGTGTGAGAGAGAGAGAGAGAGAGAGAGAGAGAGAGTTAGTGACATCTTATTTTCTTGAAGATTTTATTTATTTTTGTGGAGAAGAGCTGGTGTGCAGGCCAGAGATGCAGGGAGGGTGAGAAGATTCACCAGATAGAAAGGGGAACAGACAGGCAGATCTACTGAAATCCACTGCTAAAGGAGCAGCAGGGAGACAGGAGAGGTCTGCTGCACCAGATGTGGGTCACTCTCTGGCCAGGGATTGAACTCAGACTGCTGCCGTGGGCCTTTGAGCTGGTGGCTCTGAGACTTAACCCCTGGCCACTAGGGAGGCCTGTAGTGAAGTTTTCTGATTAAGTGAGTGTCATAGAGCTCGTCAGACTTTCTCACCAGATGCAACTGCTGTGAAATACTTTAAAGAGAGAGAGAGAGAGACCTCTTGGTCTCTCTCTTAGTTTAAATTCACTTTGATTAAAATATTTATTCTACATAACACTTTTAAGGAAGTGTTTCCCTTGTTACCATATTATGTTCTATTTGCACATTTGACTTTTGTTTAGCTCCTGCTCTATACTCTGTGTGGTTGGAATAAATAAATGGATAGGCATAGTTCCTGATCAGTCATCATCTAGTATTAAAAAAATCTGAATCAGATCAAAATATCACTCCCCAAAAAAAGGTAAATGAATAGTTGTAATACCATGGATAAGTGTGTACAAACGGAGGTCTGGGCTTAGGGAATATGTGTGATGCTTAAGTTGAATCTTGGATGAGGAGAAGGAGTCTGTTGGTCAGACAGTAGAAGGATATTTCAGACAGAACAACTTACTTGTTAAGACAACATCAGAAAGGTGAAATAATGGGATTAAGTACAGAAGTGATTTGGGAATTGAGGTAAGATGCATGGGCCAGGTCATGGGCCTTATACACCAGGCAAAGGATTATGGGCTGTAACCATGCAAAGGATTATGGGCTGTAACCGGGTAGCAATGAGGTGTCCTGCTAGTAGAGCCCACTTTAATAACACAGCGAATCTTTGCCTTTACCGTCCATTTTTCTATTTTCTAGGAGCAGATTTATTGAAACTCACTAGAGATGATGTAATTCAGATCTGTGGCCCTGCAGATGGAATCAGACTTTTTAATGCATTGAAAGGCCGGTATGTAATTGGTGAAATTGGTAACATTCTCTGCATAGCTAAGTACATCGGTGGAAACATTCTTTTTGAATGCCAGTTGTGCCAATGAGCAAATTAAAAATAGCCTACATTTGATTCAAGACATTCCCGATGATAACCTGTTTTTCATGTACAGGTAATTTTTTCATTCAATGAATATTCAGTAAAAATATTCCATAAACATTCTCTTGTGAGCCACGAACTGCTATAGGCTCAGGGGACGTGATTGTGAGCAAAAAAGATAAGGTACCCCCATTATCGTGGAATTTTCTTTATTATGGGGATAAAGACAGAAATGTAAACAGTGTTTGGGGTTGTGATAGGTGCCTTGAAGGAGAACAAAGCAAACAACAGTAAGGTTGTGGCTTATTGAAGACCCTAAATATGGCCAGGGAAGCCCTCTGAGGAGGGGAGTACTTAACTTCAGTTGTGAGAACAGCTGGAGCTGTGGGATTATGGAGGTGCGGCCTGGGCAGAGCCACAGGTACAAAAGCCCTGAGTCAGTGTTAATTGGAGAAGAGGTCGTTCTTAAATTGGCATAGGTAATGTCGAAGTGTCTGCTTACAAATGTTACTTGTAATACAGAATGCTTTGTCGTTCCTTCTTGCGATTTACAACTTCAACTAGGTAGTCACAATCTTGATGGCACACATATGCAGGTCAGTGCCACAGAACTCAGTGACTAAATGATGAAGCTCTGTGGAGTGTATTTGTGTGCATCGCAAGGGATACTGAATCAGGTTGACTGTCGTCTTGGAGTTTTAAGAAAAATGGTGAATTTCAGAGGTTGACTGGGAGAGCTGAGAATGAATTCTGTGTGTGTGTGCATACAGTGTCATAAGTGACACTTATTGAGGAAGACAAAGGTCAAACTCCTTCCAGCCCCACCCTACCAGGGAACAAATCCCAATAATAAAAATATAAGCATTCTGAGGTGACACATTCTTTTGTGGCCATTTTTTAATGTCTTATCTAAAGGGAATTAAGAAATGTGAAGGAATAAGGTGATGAGGTCAGTCATTGGCTACTGTTTAAAAGATGCCAACACAAAGATGCCTTCGACTGCTTAGGAGAATGTAATAAGGAAAATAAGATTCTCCAGTTTACTGTTTTGCCTTGTTTGTTTGTTTTTTTTTTTTTTAAAGGCATATCTTGACTCTGACACATAAGGCAGTGGCTCGCATTTTGAGTCTCTGTAACCTTTACACAAAGGTCAGATGACAGTGGCCACATGTGAGTGAGTCCCAGTGAAGTCGGGCTGTGTTGAAGGATGTGTGCGCTCTGTGCGGAGGCCAGCTGATTGTGGTGGTTTTTAAGGGAGAGGGCCGGCTCTGGTTTGTTTTTTATCTTAAGGTTTATTTCTTTATGCATACAAGAACAGGGGTGTAAGCCAGAAGTGCAGCGGGTGAAAGGATTCGCCAGAGACACAGTGGGGAGCAGAACAGGCAGATTGACCAAAATCCACTGCTGAGGGGAGCAGTGGAGAGACAGGAGAGATCTGCTGTGCCATGTAGGTCAGCTCCCTGCTGGGGGGTCGAACTCATGCTGCAGTGGCTGCCTATAGCTGCCTCGTGCTAAGACTTAGCCCTTTGCACCACCAGGGAGGCCTCCAGCTCTGATTTTTTTTTTAAGGAAAGGCAAAAATTCAGAGGTTTATATGCTATCTTCTGTTAGATGCATTTCAGCTTAAAGAAACAAAACTAATATTTACCAGCTGGGAACTAATAAAACATAGTAAATGAGCTGTCTGCAGGCTGCTAGTCTTCATCCCTCGCTCTGTAGTATTAACATGGATATATCCTTTCTCCGTTAAAATTTTGTTGCCATGACAAATGTACGACTAACAACCTCTCTTCCCTCCTGAGGATGGTGCGGCCACGGCTGACCATTTATGTCTGTCAAGAGTCCCTGCAGTTGAGGGAGCAGCAGCAGCAGCAGCAGCAGCAGCAGCAGCAGAAGCATGAGGACGGGGACTCCAACGGTACTTTCTTCGGTAGGTCGCTCTGGTTGGGCCAGATGTGAGCAGGTGAAGAGACGACTGCGCGTGCATGTTGGGGATTTGCCAAAAGCAGATTTAGCATTCGCTAGAGGGAAAGGTGATTGCTGATGTGTACGGTGCTGTCAATATACACTGGGCACTCTTTGCAAACACTTCCATGCTTCGAGTTTTACAACAGATATCCCCTCTTTGCACTCTGTGTTGTTTTTATCATCAGCGTTTCGCTGAGGAAAATGAGGCAGTTAAGTAACTTGCTAGCAAACAGTAGAATTAGGATTTGAACTCAGACAGTCTGACTGAGCCCTCCAGAAAAGTGGGTGTTCCTGGCAATCAGCTTCATGAAGTCAGAGGAACTTGGGCTTGACTCTTTGCTTTGTCCTTTTGCAGTGTATCATGCCATCTATCTCGAAGAGCTGACTGCTGTTGAACTGACAGAGAAAATCGCACAGCTTTTCAGTATCTCCCCTCACCAAATCAGCCAGATCTACAAGCAGGGGCCAACGGGAATCCACGTGCTCATCAGTGACGAGGTACTCGCAGGGGGACAGTGCCCTTGGCAGGCATGTGGCAGGAGTCAGAGCAGTTCCACGAAGGCAGAGGGCTGTATCCTCGCTCACAGATCTTCAAGTGTTTTGCCTGCCCTCCTTCCTAAAATAATTTTAAAACACTGTGTATCCCCTTGCACAGTATTTGTTGACTTAATACTGTGTTTTCTGTTAAAATAGTGAGAAAGTTGTAATTTCTGGGAATATTATATGACATTTGAAAATGAAATGGTGGGTTCTCCCTGGTGGTGCAGCGGGTTAAAGTGCAGAACTGTGAAGCTGTCTGTAGCACGAGTTCCAGCCCCAGCCGGGGAGCTGACCCACATGGTGCATCAGACCGCTCCTGACCTGCCTGCTGCTCCCCTCAGCAGTGACTTCATCATTCAGCCTGTTCTGTTCCCCGTTCTGTCTCTGGTGAATCCTCTCACTCCCACCCCCATCCCTCTGGCTTGTACCCCAGTTCTTACATGCATAAATAAATCCTTAAAAAATAAAAATAATAAAAATGAAATAGTTATATCACTATTCTACTAAATACAAAAGTGATTTGCCACCATTGTCATCCACTGAAAAGAACACCTGTTAATGTACTTTTCTTTAACAGACTTGTTACAGTCAGTTACGCCAATGTACATGTGTTCACTACATGTTTTGTAAACATTAGACATTAAGAGAAGTGTTTCTTGCTCTTGAAACCTGCCGGACCTCAGACCAGCAAGTGACTGTGCATGCTCTGGCCGCAGGGCTGGTCAAGGGCTTGGCACGTCTTTGTAATAAGAAGGAGAAGTTGCTGTCTGCGCTGGAACACCTGGAGGCCTTACCGAAGGGCTTTCTAGGAAGGCTGGCAATTTGGAGAAACCAAAAGTTGTTACAACCTGGAAAGGAAAGCAAGAACTGGACGTTTGGGTTCAGAGACGGGGATTTCAGGAACTGATGACGTTGGCACTAAGTCAGGGAAAAACCCATCTTCAGATGTTGTAGACAAAGAATTAGAGGAGAGCACAGTGATACCCAGGAACTGCAAAACAGTTAAAAGAAGCAGAAGTACTTGTGGCAGCTGTTTCCAGACCAAAGAAAACTCACAGAAAAGGCAAGGAGAGGCGCCTTGAAGAAAGACTGCGGTAGACTGAGGAGGAGTGGAGATGATTCTGTGCGTGCCACACTGACCTAGGCCCAGGACCCTCAGAGGCCAGGCCCAGCTTAGAGGTGACAAGTGGGTCATGGATCAAACGAGTCCTTCCTGTGGTGTTAAGGGTCCTCTGCGGGGACACCCGCCAGTCTCCTTGCCCCACAGTGTCCATCGCAGTTAAGTGATGAGTCAATGAACGTGCTGCCACCAAATCTCAGTAATGGCTTTTTTTTTTTTTTTAAGATTTATTTATTTATGCACACAGAAATGGGGTACAGGCTAGAGGTTCAGGGGCAGCTAAAGGATTCACCAGAGACAAAGTGGGGAGCAGAAAAGGCAGATCAACAAAGTACATTGCTGATGGGGAGCAGCAGGGAGATAGGAGAGGTCTGCTGCGCCCTGTGGGTCACTCTCTGGCCGCGGATTGAACTCAGGCTGCAGTGGCTGCGGACAGCTTCGTAGTGCTGCGCTTTAACCCATTGCGCCACCAGGCAGGGCCCAGAATTGGGTTTCTTAAACAATGACAAACCAGTAAAAATAGCCAGGTGATATTGGCCCTAGTAGATTTGTGCAGCCCATTGAAAACCACAGTGGCCTTTCTTTGTGAAGCGAAAAGTCAGGGCTCTAGTTTCAAACCAATAGTTGTATATTTGCAGGGTAGTGCGAATTTACTGTGGGAGAGATTGGTTTGTTCAGTGCCATCTTACCCTCTCATACCCTAGTCATGTTGGACTTGTTATAGAACTTGGAAAGAAAACCTGAGGGACGGGAGCCATGCACATATCACTGCGGGTTCTCCTGGAATTGTTAGGAAGTATTTTTTAGACAGTGATTCACTGAATGTGCATCATATCTCAGAGTAACAAAAACCTTCATTTGGAAGTAAGTGCTCTTAGTTTCCTTCACAGGCACAGAAGTTGTCGCAATTTGAACTATTTGTAATTTTTTTTAAGTAAGCTCACTTGTTTACTTAAAATTTATTTAGAAGCGCAGCTATTAATAAGATAGGGGCTTGTCTAGGACCTCTTCCTTCCCCCAGCCCCTCTCACAACTCATCTGTAGCTGCACACTCCCTGTTGACTGCCTGGATGAAATGAGTTCAACGCTAATTTCATCCTGTTTTTTCCCCTAGATTTAAGTGCTGTGGAACCCGATTAACATAGATTGATAGACAGGAGTGAATGAAGTTTTGTTAAAATAGCATCACTGGATTTTTTTTTTAACTTCTGAGTTATGTGCCAAAAATTATTCTGTGATATTTTAAAAAATTATTTTGAATCGCCAGTCACTTGACAGTCTGATGAGGTCACTCTTAAGTTCTGATAAACAGAAGCCATGTGACCCAACACGAGTTAGTTTGTTGTCCAGTAATCTGTGCTCACATTGCAGTTACACTGGAGCATCCTGGAAGCCTTTATCCCCAAGCACAGTGCGTCTTGGTAGGATTCCAGGAAGGCGAGACCCAGGCCTTTATTTTGTCAACTGGGAAAAGGAGTGTGAGAAGGGAAAGTGGAAAAGGAAATCTGAGCAGACGGTTTTAGGAAAGATACATATGAGAGCTGAAGACCTGGAAGTCACTTTTCCATGTGGTCTGACAATGTTTACACCCCTTGGAAAATAATGGGATTAGCCCAGAAACACTACAATTTAAAAATTACTGTTTTAGGCTGCTTAGCTTTTTAAACTTAGAATAAGTGAATGACAAAAGAAGACAAAGTTTTGTTGTTGTTGTTGTTTTAATTTAAATCTAATGTCAAAATAGATGCAGCAAACCAAGGTTTCTGATAATCAAATTTTCTTGCATTTTACAGATGATACAAAACTTTCAGGAAGAAGCTTGCTTTATTCTGGACACAATGAAAGGTAATGCAATAATCAAACAAATGCCTTTCTGTAAGTCATTTAAGAGCTTTTTAAATATTTCTTTGTGAAGAAAGGGAAAGTATCAGCTACCTTATCTGAGTAGAGAAAGTGACTTTAGAGATTGTTTCTTTGTATGAATTGGCTCTTCTACTGTGCCATGATCAGAGCAAAGTGCAGTGATGACTTTGTCATTCTTTTCCCCCCTCCTTGGCCAGCTGAGGAAATGGAGTCATGTTTTAATCACGTGTATTTATTAAGGGTCCTGTGATCACTAATCAGCATACTGTCCTTTGCCTTGTTCTGTTTTCTTTTCCTTCTCAAAAGCACCTTACCGATCTTTTCTTTCTGTGTTGTACAGGTAACTAAAGATTTTTTTCTCTCTCTCTTATAGCAGAAACCAATGATAGCTATCATATCATACTGAAGTAGGTGTGGGCCTTCCATCCTCAGTGGCTTCTGCTTCCTGCGCCTCCTGGAAACCTCTCCCTCTTGAAGGGGCGGAAAATGGAAATTTGAAGGTCTGCAGGAACCTGACCCATGTGACTGTGGGAGTCCAGGCCGTGGAGGCCGAATCCCTGCCATTAGTGTTGACCCAAGCCCCTGAGGCACACGGATTACTGCCCAGCATCCATTTCTGCAGCTGTTTCTTAGTTTAAGTTTCTGGGCCCTGTCGTTGTGGAGTATCAGTAGAAACTACATACCATCTAGGCTGTATGTAGGGCGTGATAATGAAAATTGTGTGATGTTTAATGGAAAGATGTTAACTTTTTGTGATATGGAGCCATGTAATTCTTTTCTAATATAAAAGTGAACATCTATATTCCTAAGACTAGATCCTCAATCTCTTTTGCATCAAACATAGTGGCTTTTTCCCACAATTGGATCCTGAAAACCTCATAAAAGGAGAAATTTGTTTTCCTTAAATACTATGACTGTTAGTAATTTTAGCTAACATTTATGGAGCATTTACTTGTGCTGAACAAATCAATTCTTTAAATGGATTATCTTATTTAAATATGCTTAATAACCCTAGATGAAGTAGGTAATGTTGATCCCTAATTGAAGCTAAGGAAATGGAGACACACAGTGGCCAAGTCCTTGCTGGGTAATAGGCAGGCGTCTATGGGGGGTGGGTGCTGAGAGCCAAACCCAGGCTGTCCGGCTCCTTTTAACCAGAGCCCTGACCACAGCCCCTGCTGGCCATCCTCTTCTGGTGAGTAGGCGCTACCTGATTAAAAACTGAGAAATCAACCACTGAAAGGGACAAACCTAGTGAGGAATGAGTCAAAAGTTACACAGAATAAAAGCATACATGCTTTTTAAGCATCATCAGTTTTCTGATTAATAGAATCTGAGGAGGTGAAAAATAGGGATTATCTGTAACTCCCGGAATCCTTTGTTCTTGAGTGATATCAGACTATTGAATTAAGCTAACATCTGCTTTCTGATTATGCATTCTACATCTTCTCGGTGCAAGAAGTTCTTATGTAGTATTCTTTTATATAAACATTACAAGAAATTCATTCCAATCCCATTCATGCTTTTAGAGATTTAAAATTTTTTCTTCAAATGAGTGTGTGTGTGTGTGTGTGTGTGTGTGTGAAAGAATAGAGGTCCTCTTTCTTCACATGTACAGTTTTATCCAGAAATCCCTTTACACATTATGTTGAAGTGAAAAAAGATAAAGTTCAGAAATTCTGTATTGGGTTTGGATGTGAGTGTGTTTAAAGCATTTGATAAAGTCTAAATGTTTTTATACAGAAATTTTTGTTCATTAAAATCAACCTGCAATATGGTCTGATTTCTTTCAAATTGAAACAAATTGAAAAACCTTAAAACCAGAAAATCAGATGACCTGGGCAACTTGACACATAAGGCCAAAATAATTTTTTAGGGAATAATTCCCAGCTGTCCCTCTGTGGGGGGATATTTCTAGTTGTATTATGTTTGAGGACTGCTTCTCGCTTCAGGGACGTCAGTTCTCTTCTTAGCATGCTGCTACTGGTTTGGGTTTTCTCCTTATTCTGTCTGGATGCTAGACTGGAAGGATGTGACTAGATCACTTTTAAAGTCCCATCTAAATTTGAAACGGCTCTTGTTTACTTCAAATGATACACAGAATTCTATTAATATATTTACTATAAATTATACTTACTAAGTTTTACTTGGTGTTGGGTTTTTTTAGAGTAATTTTCAAGTTGATAGAAATGTATTTATATGACTTTGTAATCACAGATCCTTAAATTATCTAGAAATTCTCCTAGACTTTTTTTAATTCCAAAAATATTTATAGTGCCAAAAGCTAGATAATTCATAAAATTGGTATGGTGTTAAAATATTTTGATTATTCAACTTGCTTTTAAAAAATTTAATCTTCCTTGAAGTAAATGTAAAATTCATATTATCATTTTCATAATGAAAGTAATACATAAAGTGATAGATTCAAACAATAAAGAAGAGTAGAAAAATAACTTTTTCTACTGAACTCCTACTCCCCTTGCAAAAAATATATCTCACTCTTGGGCTCATATTACACTAATGATCTGTAAGTTTTCTTTGGAAATTTTGAACATCTTCCTATGTTAGGATTTATACATCATTCTCTCTCTTTTTTAAATGACCAGGCAGGCCCCATAGATGGTTAAGTCATTTTGAACATACAACCTCGTGTTTTGCTTGTATCTATAAATTCCTAGAAGCAAAATTTGCTAATTTTATCTTTTTTAGAATATGACAGTTGAATTTAAAATAAAATATGTGATTTAATGTTTCTATTACTGTGAAGGCAGATGAGGGTGAGAATAGTTAACATTTTAGGCCCTCCTGAGAACCGGAGCAGCATCCCATGACAGGACTGTACAATCCCTTTGAAGTGTGATAGGTTCCGTTTAGGAGAATCTGATGTATAAAGATCTACTCATGAAAAGGGAGTTATTGGAAAATTAAGGGGGGGGCGGAGATCATGGCAGGACTCTAAAAGGTAAAGCATTAGTCATGACATAAGATGTGGCTCTGAGGCAATAAGAACGTTTGTCCAGTGAAGTTTGCCTACATAAGTGATTATTTAAGCAACATTGAAAAGGGGGAGAATGGAGATGGTTCTAGTGGCTGAAGGAGATTCAGTGTAACCATCACAAGACAAACACAAGACATCAGCAGGTGTTCTGATTCCTGACAGGCAGGCACTGTGTATGCTGAGCATGCTCTCCCACTGGGGGAGCCTGGCAAATGGAACTGGCCGTTCTAGTATATACCTGCTGAAGGAATGTTCTGGAAGCCCTTCGTACCGCCAATATTCTGAGAAAGTCTTTTGTATAGTGTTGCTGTGGAGATTTGGGTTGTGTTACAACTACCATGAAGGGTTGAATGAAACTTCAGCATTCAGTTTTGAAAGTAACACAAATTTGGGTGCACACCTTTGACATCAGTGCTGAGCTGCTTCTCTCTTCCCGGTAGCTTTTGTGTCCTGCTAGTACCTAACAATTTCATAGGGCTTGGGGCCCAAAAGATGAAGCTGAGCCCTATTTTATCAATTCATGGAATCATTACTCAGCTTCTTTGGCCATGGGTTGCTCCTTTATAGGAATATATTATGGCTGTTATTGGTCCTGAGAATCCCATCCCCAGCAGGAAAGGCACAAATGTCCCTCCTAGACACGTCATTTTATACTAAGTCTTACAGAATAATCCTACATCACTTTGCCTCTTAATACGCTGTTTTCTTAGTTGAGGACTAAGGCTTTTCCTGCTATAGTATTTAGTTTGGGATTACTACTTTGTTTTATTATACACGCTTAAGGCTTAAAAGGGAAGAATCTAATACCACTCTAAAACAGAATGAACTGAAAAAGATGCCATACGTGATGTGAGATGAATGCCATCAGCATCTGTTTTAGCTGTATTGATTTACTTTTTTAAAATGACTTTGTACATTACCTTTGACCTTAAATTTCCATCTGTTTCACATCCCCTTTTCACCTTTCCTTTTCACTTCTCCTAATGAATATAGCCCTGTTCAAGAAGTTACTTTGAAAAATTGCAACTAAATCCAGCATTTGCATTTTCATATTCAGATTTAAAAGATTTATTAATTAAATTTTTCAATTGGATTGATGTCAGTTATAAGGGAACTGCTTTTTTAAAAAATACTGTTGTGTTATAGTATTCTACTGTTTTGTATTGTATGGGATCTTTTAGGACATGAATTATAGTCATCATATTATGTAAATCTATGTAGTCATATATTTTCATAAAATGAGATATATATTCCTCATTTTCTTCACTGCAGATTCTTGTTTCCTCCTGGATTTGACATTTCATTTAAAGATTTAGGTAACAGCTTTCACTAGACATCTTCACATCCTTCACATCCTTTAGTTCACTTCCTTTAGGTTTACTAACATTAATCTCTCTTAAGCTCACCCCTTGTCTTTAACTACCCAACCTTTTTTCATTTTTTGAGATTTATGTGTTTATGCATACAAGAAATGGGGTGTAGGCTAGAGGTGCTGGGGGAGGAGATGAAAGGATTCACCAGAGAGCGGGGAGCAGAACATGCAGATTGATGAAGTACACTGCTGAGGGGAGCAAGGGGCGAGGCAGGAGAGGTCTGCTGCGCCCTGTGGGTCAGCTGCCAGGCTGGGATCAAACTCCTGCCACAGTGGCTGTGATAGTGCCTGTGCCACAGGGAGGTCCAGCCTTTTGCTTTTTCAACAGATGGAAGAAATCAGTTTCTGAACATCCCTTTTGAAACCCCGATCATGTTCATGGAATTTCTTTGTTGTTTGTACTATTAAATTGCTATGGCTCACTTTTTTTCAGATTTTGTCTCTTTCGAGCTGTATGACAATTAAATGTAGTCACCATACAACTTCAGGACAGGTTCTGTATCAGAAAAGGAAATATAGTACCTTAGATTTTTACCTTTTAGGAGCTTGCCTCATAGTATTTCCTGACTTCTTATTTTTTTAATCCCCTCCCAGTGCATTATTGTTTATCTTTTGGTAGTAACGAGTATTCTATACATTGTATACTTTGGTGTCATATAAACAGGTACTTAAATCCCATATTTTAATCTTTCTTCCTAGAATAGACCCTCGACCAAATAATCTCTTAAACTTCAATTTTCTCATCTTAAAAGGATGAGCTGGGCCCTCCCTGGTGGAGCAAGGGGTTAAAGCACAGCCGCTTCATGAGTGTTTCATGAGTCCAATCCCAGCCAGGGGGTGATACCAGGGTGCAGCAGGCCCCTTCTGCTCCTCCTGCGCCCTCAGCAGTGTCTCCGGAGCTTCCTGTCTCCCCCCTTTCTGTCTCCTCTCAGCTTCCTCCTTCTGCCGGTTCTGCTCCCCACTCTGACTCTGGGGAATCAGAGTCTGCACTTCTGGCCTGTGAAAATAAATCTTAAAAAAAAAAAAAAGGGGGAAGATAATACTTCTGAGGCTTGTTGGGGAGTTTTAAATGGATAATAAGTATAAAAGTTTTATTTTGTACTTAATACACTTACCCTGTTGCTCAGCAAACAGGATATTATTGTCTGCAATACAGATATGTAAAGACTACCCAGGATATGGACACTGAGTTTTGGTTTTTTTCATTTGCGACTGCTGTTTTTGGTCACCTCTTCCTTCTATTCTGCTTTAACTTTTTTATTCATAAAACAGTGCACCCATCTGTGTTTTGTGTATTCTTAGCCAATCCACACAGCAGGCTCTCAATAACGTAGTTTCATTCAACATCATCTCATAATGCTGATGAGAAAAGCCATCCTGGCTGACTTAGATGAAACAACATTGTTGAAGATCTTTCATTCCACTTTGTTTTGTTTCCTACTGACCACCAAAACACTGACCGTACTTAGGTCTGGAGCAAAGCTGTGACATTTAGAATCGGATGTCTGGTTTTATTTACATATTATTAACTTAGTGTTTCCCCCTCCACTTTTCTTTGTATTCTCTGTTCTGCTGCACTCAAGCTTTCTGGTCATTTGCCCTCCACACACCCCACTTCACCTGGAAGCAGAGTTGCAGTTATGATGGACAGATCCGCACCCTTGTGTAACTCAACAGTGAGTCCATCCAGACGATGAAATCTGGTGAATGAATGATCCTGGTATTTGTGAGGGTTTTTAGAGGGTCAAATGATGTGAAGCTCACTGCCAGATTGGATTCTGCTATCTTCTCAAAGGATGTGCCATCTTTGTTTTAACCATCTTCCAGTTTCCTTTCATTAGCCAACAAAACTTGGGTGTTGAGTCTGAAAGCAGGTATCAGGTATCATGCCTGCCCAGACCGGCTGTGTGCACAGGATATTGTTTTAAGCCTCCCCAAAATGGCCTTTTGACTGCTTTTTGTAAATCTATTATTGATCCTATCATTTTGTCTGAGCCGTCCCGTGAACACGGAGATAGCACTGTGTTGACAATGCTTTATACTATATGAATATAAAATCTTCACAAAGCTCTGACATCATCATTGCCCATTTGCAGGCGAGGAAGCTAAGGCACAATGAAGTTATGAACCTTCCTGAGGGTCACAC